ACATCCCCAAAGGGAATGGCATGAAGTAATCAAGGTCATGAAAAACAAGAATCTGAATCCAAGACTACTCTACCCAGCAAGGCTATCATTCAAAATAGAAGGTCAAATAAAGAGCTTCCCAGACAAAAAAGGCTAAGGGAATACATTAGCACCAAACCAGCACTGCAAGAAATGTTAAAAGGACTGCTGTAACTAGCAGGAGAAATGGGAAGAAAAATAGAACAACACTAAACAAAAATGGCAATAAATAAGTACATATCAATAATCACCTTAAATGTAAATGGATTGAATGCTCCCATAAAAAGACACAGAATAGCTGATTGGATAAGAAAGCATGACTCAACTATATGTTGTTTACAAGAGACCCATCTCACAACAAAAGACTCACATAGGTTGAATGTGAAGGGATGGAAAAAAGTCTTCCAAGAAAACAGAAAAGAAACAAAAGCTGGGGTAGCAATACTCATATCTGATAAAATAGATTTCAAAATGAAGGCCATAACTGGAGACAAAGAAGGCCACTACATAATATTGAAAGGATCTATCCAACAGGAAGATATAACCTTGATAAACATATATGCACCCAATATAGGAGCACCAAAATATATTAAAAATCTTCAGGAGAATTTCCAAGGAGAAATCGACAGCAATACAATCATAGCAGGGGACTTCAACACCCCGTTGACACCACTGGATAGATCCTCTAGACAAAAAATTAGCAAGGAAACAGAGACTCTAAATGAAGCACTAGACCATATGGATTTAATAGATATCTACAGAGAATTACACCCCAAAACTACAGAATTCACATTCTTCTCAAGTGCACATGAGACATTCTCAAAGATAGACCACATGATAAGACACAAACTAAATCTCTACAAGTTCAAGAAGACTGAAATCATATCAAGCATCTTCTCAGATCACAATGGCATGAAACTAGAAATCAATTGCAACAAGAACATGCAAAGACATTTCAACACATGAAGGCTAAATAGCACGTTATTAAACAATGAATGGGTCACCTAGGAGATCAAGGGAAAAATTAAAAACTTCTTGGAAACCAATGAAAATGAACACACAACAACACAAAATCTATGGGATGCACCGAAAGCAGTTCTGAGAAGGAAGTTCATAGCACTACAGGCCTACCTCAAGAAACAAGAAAAATTTCTAATTGACTGTCTAACCTCACAACTTAAAGAATTAGAAAGCAAACAAAAAGAAAACCCCAGAGCAAGTAGAAGGAAGGAAATAGTGAAGATCAGAGCAGAAATAAATGACATGGAGACCAAAAAAACAATTCAAAGGATCAATGAAACAAAGAGCTGGTTTTTCGAAAAGATAAACAAGATGGATGGACCCTTAGCTAGACTCACCAAGAAACAGAGAGAACCCAAATACACAAAATCAGAAATGAAAGAGGAGAAGTAACAACCAACAACACAGAAATACAAAAGATCATTAACAGCTACTATGAACAACTATATGGCAACAAATTCGACATTCTAAGCGAAATGGAAAAATTTCTGGAAACACACAGTCTCTCAAAACTGGACCGGGAAGACATAGAAAACTTGAACAGACCAATAACAACTAAGGAAATTGAAGAAATAATCAAGACTCTCCCAGCAAACAAAAGCCCAGGCCCAGATGGCTTCACGGGGGAGTTTTACCGAACACTCAAAAAAAACTAACACTCATTCTCCTCAAACTATTTCAAAAAATTCAAGAATAAGGAAGACTTCCAAACACGTTCTATGAGGCCAGCATAATTCTAATTCCAAAACCAGAAAAAGACACTACAAAGAGAGAAAACTACAGGCCAATATCCCTGATGAACATAGATGCCAAAATCCTGAACAAAATATTAGCAAATCAGATCCAGCAGTACATCAAAAAAATTATCCACCATGACCAAGTGGGATTCATCCCAGGGATGCAAGGCTGGTACAATATTCGCAAATCAATAAATGTGATACACCACATAAACAAAATAAGAATAAAAACCACATGATCATATCAATAGATGCTGAAAAAGCCTTTGACAAAATCCAGCATCCATTTCTGATAAAAATGCTCAGCAATGTAGGAATAGAAGGATCATATCTCCACATAATAAAGGCCATATATGAAAGACCTACAGCCAACATCATACTCAATGGACAGAAACTAAAAACATTTCCATTAAGAACAGGAACAAGACAGGGATGTCCACTTTCGCCACTATTATTTAACATAGTACTGGAAGTCTTAGCCACAGCAATCAGACAGGAAGAAAAAATAAAAGGGATCCAAATAGGAAGGAGGAAGTGAAACTGTCATTATTTGCAGATGACATGATATTATACATAGAAAACTCTAAAGACTCCATCAAACATCTACTAGACTTAATACATGAATTTGGCAAAGTAACAGGATACGAAATTAACGGCAAGAAATCGACGGCATTCTTGTACATCAATGATGAACTCACAGAAAGAGAAACCGAAAAAACAATCCCATTTACCATTGTGCCAAAAATATTAAGATACCTAGGAATAAACTTAAACAAAGAAGTAAAGGACCTATTTGCAGAAAACTACAGGACATTGAAAAAAGAAATAGAGGAAGATATAAAAAAGTGGAAGCATATACCCTGTTCATGGATTGGAAGAATTAACATCATTAAAATGTCCATACTACCCAAAGCAATCTATAGATTCAACGCAATCCCCATCAAAATACCAACGACATATTTCACAGCACTAGAACCAATACTTCAAAAGTTCATGTGGAACCAAAAAAGACCCGGAATAGCCACAGCAATCTTGAAAAAAAAGGAAAAAGTAGGTGGGATCACAATACCAGATATCAGGTTATACTACAAAGCGACTGTAATCCAAACAGCCTGGTACTGGCACAAGAACAGGCAGATAGACCAGTGAAAGAGAACTGAAAACCCAGAAATGGACCCAAGGCAACAGGCTCAATTAATATTTGACAAAGGTGGCAAGAGCATACAGTGGAGTAAAGACAGCCTCTTTAATAAATGGTGTTGGGAAAATTGGACAGCTACATGCAAAAAAATGAAACTAGACCATCAACTTACACCATACACAAAAATAAACTCAAAATGGATAAAAGACTTAAATGTGACCCATGAATCCATAAAAATTCTAGAAGAAAATGTAGGCAACAAAATTTCGGACATCATACGGAGCAGAATTTTCACTGATATATCACCTAAGGCAACAGAAACAAAGGAAAAAATGAACACATGGGACTACATCAAACTCAAAATCTTCTGCACAGCAAAAAAAACAATCATCAAAATGGAAAGGCAACCCACTGTATGGGAGAACATCATTGCCAATGGTGTATCAGATAAGGGGTTAATTTCCAATATATATAGAGTGCTCATACAACTCAACAAAAGGAAGACAAAGAACCCAATTAAAAAATGGGCAGAGGAGCTGAATAGCCACCTCTCCAAACAGGACATACAAATGGCCAAGAGACATATGAAGAAATGCTCAACATCACTAATCATCAGAGAGATGCAAATTAAAACAACAATGAGGTATCACCTCACATCTGTCAGAATGGCCACCATCAACAAATCATCTAACAACAAGTGTTGGCGAGGGTGTGGAGAAAAGGGGACTCTAGTACACTGCTGGTGGGAATGCAGACTGGTGCAGCCACTACGGAAAACAATATGGTGTTACCTCAAAAAATTAAAAATTGAACTTCCATTTGACCCAGTGATCCCGCTTCTAGGAATATATCCTAAGAAGCCTGAAACACCAATCAGGAAGAATATATGTACCCCTATGTTCATAGCAGCACTATTTATAATAGCTAAGATCTGGAAACAGCCCAAGTGTCCATCAGAAGACAAATGGATAAAAAGGCACTGGTACATATACACAATGGAGTACTATGCAGCTGTAAGAAAGAAAGATCTCTTATCCTTTGAGACGACATGGAGGGACCTGGAAAGTATTATCCTAAGTGAAATAAGCCAAGCAGAAAAAGACAAATACCACATGATCTCACTTATATCCGGAATATAATGAACATAACAGTCTGAGGAAAATGGTAGATCCAGAATCATGGAAGTAGGGCACAGATTGACATCTGTCAGAAAAGGGGGTGGGGGGGTGCCAATGGGGTAAAAAAGGAGAAATATCTGTAACAAAACAAACAAACAAACAAACAAACAAACAAACAAACAAAAAACCAATTAAAAGCATCAACTGATGTTGGCCAAAAAAAAAAAAAGGAGCAGGAGAAGGCTTAGAGGCCTGGAAGGCATGGTGTGTTTTCAGAGCAGGGAGTGGACGGGCATGTCTGTGGCAGAGGATTCATTGATACACATCGTGGAGATGGTACCAGAAAGTCCATACCTTTTGGAATTTGTTTAGGATAAGTTAAAAAAAACCCACAAAATATTATGATCATTTCCCTTGGTTTCAAGACACTCATCTTGAAATTTTAACTCATGTAATATATAGCTAAGCAGGACTCTAATTCAGGTGGTACATCAACATCACTGCTGTCAATACAGGAAACGGGGAGACCTGAGGTGTCTGAACCGATCAGAACACTTAGGAAATTCTGTGGTCGTCAGCATGGCCCTGAGGTTTGCTGGGGAATGTGTGATATAACCCTAAAGGACTGATAACAACCCCAACTTGTCATGTGTTCTCACTGGGCTCCTCGCTATGAGTGGCAGCTGATTTTTCATGTCATAGTTTAATTTGAAATCAAATGTGCTTTTCTTGGAAGCTGCCTTTCTGTTTTAGGTCAGGGAATGGTTGGGGTTGCTGAAAGCTGAAGGAGCTGGTGGGGCATGGCCCCTCTGTTCAGGGGTGACCAACAGCAATGCTGTGAAGGGGCCTAGGTTGGCCTTTCTCCTTCTGAACTATAATGACAATAACTTATATTTATTGAAACTTATTAATCACCAGGCATTGCACTGATCATTGGACATGTATTCTCTAATTTAATCTTCACAGCAATCTTGTGAGCAAGATTCCTAATTCTATTTGACAGATGTGGAATTGCAGTTCATAGACGTTAATTTCCCTGAAGTAGTGCAGTGAGTGTTGAAGTTGGGACTTGAACCAGGTACTCTCATGTTCTTACTCTTTCATCCTCTCCCCTCTGGCAAAACCTGACTTCAGAGAAGATATTAGAGACATATTGACGCCCGGTGTGAATATCCACAGAGAGGCAGTGCGGTGTAGGGGTTAGGGATGTGAGCTGCTGAGTAAATCTGACGTGTTTTGGTACTGGGTTCATGCCTTCCCTGTGTGAGCAGACAAATGACCTAACTCTCCACGCTGCAGGGTTTGCATCCATCTGTACGATGCTGTTAATAGCCACACAAACCTCATACACTGTCCTAAGTGTGAAATGAAATGATAACTACAGCAACCTGGCATACGGTGTGCTCTGAATAAATGTTAGCTGTTCTTATTACCCGTAAAGAGTTAGGTGTGCACTCTCTACCACTGAGATATTTGTGTTTTACCAATCAAGTAGTTAGGTCAAAAGAAATGATTCTAATGGTAGAATTTTTAAGTATCTCTACTCAATTAATTTTTAACTGCATAATACATGAATACCTACTTGTTTGTAAGAATCTCAAATAGTACAGATAGTCAAATTGCCTTTAATCACACCCTTGGTGGAATTTGACTCATTATCAATTCTGTGGGGGAGCCCAGTTAAAGGGGCAGAGAGGTCCTTTCTTGGCATCTGAAAGTGACATCATGCAGGTCACCATCTTGGGGGCCAGCCTTCTTCTAGTCTTAGAGCTTAAGGATCCTCTTCTCGCTGCTTCTGTGTAAAGCAAGCCTGGGAATCATGAATTCAAGGAATGGAGGCACCTGGTAGGCAGAGAAGCACCAGACTTGGGGAGGTGTGTTCCAGCCCTGCTCTGCTCCTAGCTGGCGGTGTGATCTTAGCCCTTACTTCCTGATTGTTGAGTAAGGGTTTGAAACTAGGAAATAGTGAGGCCCATTTTCAGAGGCCATTTCACTTGACCCTCTCACTTGATAGATGCGGGATTGATGAACCACATCCAGGCTAACTGAGCTGACCAAGGTCACATACTTAGTAAGTGGTAGAGCTAAGACTAGAAGGAAGCCCTTCCTGTTAGTTCTTGTGGCTTAGATGTCTGAGGCAAATGCATTGGGAATGCTTTTCTTTGCTCTCACATCCAATTCCTCATGAATGGGAGCCATTTTAAGCACTAAATTCTCTGGCTATTACATTCTAAATCTTCCCCCTCATGGGGACTAGTGGAGTTATTCCAGGTGTCACCAGTGTATAAATAAAAAGAATAAAGCCTTTCTGCCCTGGCTGGAGGATCCCAATGTGATAAGACACAGGGCTTGAGAGAACCCAGCGTCAGCAGCTGTCCCAGTCCCCAGTGCCCTGCATCTGTGCCTGTGAGGGTGGCCCCGCCCACTCATGGCTGTCCTGGGCTTCTAATCAAAGACACAACTGCTGGGAATGGAGATAGCAGCCACTGTGTGGGCCCAACCTTTTCTGTCTTCTTCACTCCCCTTGCCACTGCCACCATTTCTTTTTTTTAATCCTCACCCGAGGACATTTTTTCCATATTTTGTTCAGATAGAGTGGGAGGGAGAGAGAGAGAGAAACATCGACGTGAAAGGGACACATTGAGTGGCTGCCACCCGCATAACCCAACCAGGGCCGGGGACAAACTGCAACCGAGGTACGTGCCCTTAGCGGGAACCGAACCCGGGTCTCTCTGGACCGCAGGCTGACGCTCCAACCGCTGAGCCAAACCGGCCAGGGCCACCATTTCTACTTGAGACCCTGCCAATAGCCTTGCCCAGGAAGAAATTCAGGGGAATTTCTGGCATCTCTCCACCCCACAGGATGGAAATTACTTCAATGTCTGCCAATGACTTGGGATAACAGAGTCATTATTGCTTAAGTGTAGAATTCTGATTCTCTCATTGCCACATGCTCCTAGCTTGAAACCTTCAAATTGGTGGTAGCAGGGTCTGCTTCCACTTAACTGATTTTTTTCTTCTCTACTGCAGTGATGGCCTGCCTTCCTGGAGCCTCAGGTGAAGTCTCTCACTGGCCAATTTAGATACATACTTCCTCCGTTCAACCTAAGAGAGAAACTCTCATATACATGAAGAATGATTATTCAGGGAAGATTTTTGGAAAACAGCCTCAATGTCTGATTTACCCTGTGCACTGTGGTTTGGTCCTGTTCTCTGGACTCTGTCACCAAAATTCACCAGGCGAATGACATATCACTGAGAAACATATAGCTCATAAGGCAAAGTGAGAGAGGAGAGAAGAGGATCTTCTGCTCCCATTGAGGAAAAATCTGAAGATACCCCAGTGTGCCAGGAAAGAACTCATGAGGAGAGAACAACAAAAACAGAAGCAACGTCAAGAAATCAGATAATCAGATCTAAGGGGCTCAGGAGACTCCAGAGGAGAGGTCTGGGAAGCTTTGCGGAGGAGGTAAACATGGGAAGGGTCTGAATGGATGGTTAGAATGTAAGCAGGGGAGGGGAGAAAGTAAATGTCCAGGTGGGAGAAGCCAATAATAAGGGTAGGAGCACAGCGCTGTCTGGTGTGTGTGTGTGTGTGTGTGTGTGTGTGTGTGTGTAAACAGGACAGGAGGGAACCCTTTGAAGTGGAGCAGAGATGTCTGTTGGAACAAGTAGTTGAATGTATTATCCAGATGGGGTTCATTATATAAACCTTGAAAGCCATTTGATTCCCTCTTTTATTCAGTCATTCATTTATTCATTTTGTTCTGATTATTTGTTATGTAAGTCATCTAGAGTCTTCTGGCTGAGAATATTTAAGAGTAAAGCATGCAAAACTATTTGTTGAGCACTTACCATATGTCTCATGCTGAAACAGAAGCTATGGGTAATTCAGATGGCAAGACTGTGGACCTGCCTTCAAGAAGCCTGTGTGTAATAGATGACAAAGAAAGTGACTACAATATAAGGAGAATATGGAAACTGGCTGAAGGGCAATTTCTTTTTTAAGCTGCGGAAATACAGAGGAGAGGGGCAGAGATTCTCTTTCATGGATAGAATGAAGGAAAGCTCCACAGAGATATAAATTTTTTTTTGCCAATTTAAAGCCTTGGCAGGTTTTCAGCAAGTGGGGATGGGGGAAGGGCGTTTCCAGTGCAAATCACAGTGAAAGGAGAGGTGAGGAGATGGCCGGGTAATGAGTGACGAGTTAAGGCATGGCAATGAGCAGCCTGATCACTAAGCCTGTGGTGTATGGAAGGCTTGGTGGGGAAGGTGCATTACTGTTGGAAAAGTCTAGAAAGGTGAATTAAAGTCAAAGTTGCCCTGGTCAGTTTTGTTCAGTGGTTAGAGCGTCGGCCTGTGGACCAGAGAGTCCCGGGTTCGGTTTCCGGTAGAAGCACATACCAAAAAATTTTTTGGTTATATTTTGTTTTTAATTGTTTGCAATGTTTTATTTCTTAACCTTAGTAGTGATTCTATGAATGTTCACTTTATAACTATTTCCTTAATTATACATGTGAACTTATGAACTTTCTGCATGCATATTATTTCACAGGTTTAATATGGTTTTTTTTAAGTTTATTTTTTTTATCCTCACCCGAGGACATTTTTCCATTTTTTTATTCAGATAAAGTGGGAGGGAGAGAGAGGAAGAGAGAGAGACATCGATCTAGTGGCTGCCACCCACACGACCAACCAGGGCCGGGGACAAACTGCAACTGAGGTATGCGCCCTTAATGGGAACCAAACCCAGGTCTCTCTGGACTGCAGGCCGATGCTCTAACCACTGAGCAAAACGGTCCAGGGCTGGTATAATATGTTTAAAGAACAATAGAAAATTGATATACTTATTATAAACATCCATGTACCTAGTAATATAATCTTGAACTATATCCAATAAATAAATAGAAAAAAAGTGTGTGAATCAGCAATTGTAGTTGAAACTATTTTAACATACATCTCTAAGAACTGTAGATTGAATAAAATAAAAATAGGATGGAAATGAATGAGCTGAAAATACAACTTAAAGAATAGACATAGATCCAAAATAAACAAAAAGGCATTCTTTTTTGAACATACATAGGACACTTACAACAATAGACCATTTATTAGGCCATAAAAGAAGCTTCAGTAAATTCTAAAGAATCAATCTCATTCAATGTCCTCTAACTACAATGCAATCATAGAACTGATGTTTTAAAAAAGATAGCTAAAATAAAATTCCACATGTTTAAAAACTAGATAACATTATTAAATAACATTCAGTTTAAAAATATAAATATTTAGAACTAAAGAAAACTCTACATGATAAAAGTTGTGTATTATAGCTAAAGCAGTAATTAAGGGCAAATGTATAACTTTAAATACACTAATGAATCAGAAAACATGCTAAAGACAAATGAGCTGCCAAAATGAAATACTATTTCACACTCATTAGGATGACTACTATAAAAATACACAAAATACTGTGTTGTGAAGATAATGTTAACTTTTTAAGTAAGGTATTTGTATACAATAAAATGTACCCATTTTATTTTTTTGCAATTTTTATTAATTTATTTTTGATATAGCTGTTTCTCCCCCCGCCCCCAGACACTCTCCTCCCTATCCACCCCTAACCCCCAGCATTGTTGTCTATGTCCATTGGTTACACATACATGCATATAAGTTTTTTGGTTTATCTTATCCATGCCCCCTGTCCCCCTCCTTTGAGACTTGTCAGTCTGAACCGTATTCCTTTCTATGTCTCTGGGTCTATTTTGTTCATTATATTCCACAAATAAGTGAGATAATGTGGTATCTGTCTTTCTTTCATTGGCTTATTTTGCTTAGTATAATGTTCTCTAGGTCCCTCCATGTCGTCTCAAGGGATAAAAGATCTTTCTTTCTTACAGCTGCATAGTACTCCATTGTGTATATGTACCACTGCTTTTTAATCCATTCATCTACTGATGTACATTTGGACTGTTTCCAGATCTTAGCTATTATAAATAGTGCCGCTACGAACATGGGGGTACATATATTCTTTCTGACTGGTGTTTCAGGCTTCTTAGGGTATATTTCTAGAAGTGGGATCACTGGGTCAAATGGTAGTTCAATTTTTAATTTTTTAAGGAAACACCATACTGTTTTCCATAGTGGCTGCACCAGTCTGCATTCCCACCAGCAGTGTACTAGAGTCCCCTTTTCTTCACACCCTCGCCAACACTTGGTGTTTGATGATTTGTTGATGGCAGCCATTTTGGCAAGTGTGAGGTGATACTAACACCATTTATTAAAGAGGCTGTCTTGACTCCACTGTATGTCCTTGCCACCTTTGTCGAATATTAATTGAACATAATGTCTTGGGTTAATATCCGGGTTCTCTGTTCTGTTCCATAGATCTATATACCTGTTCTTGTGCCAGTACCAGGCTGTTTTGATTACAGTGGCTTTGTAGTATAACTTGATATCTAGTATTGTGATCCCTCCTACTTTATTCTTCTTTTCCAAGATTGCTGTGGCTATTCGGTGTCTTTTTTGGTTCCATATAAACTTTTGAAGTATTTGTTCTACTTCTGTGAAATATGTCGTTGTTATTTTAATGAGGATTGCATTGAATCTATAGATTGCTTTGGGTAGCATGGACATTTTACTGATGTTAATTCTTCCAATCCATGAACAAGATATATGTTTCCACTTTTATTTTTAATCTTCACCAGAGGACATTTTTCCATTTTTTGTTCAGATAGAGTGGGAGGGAGAGAGAGGAAGAGAGAGAAACATCGATGTGAAAGGGACACATCAAGTGGCTGCCACTTGCACGACCCAACCTGGGCCTGGGACTAACTGCATCCGAGGTACATGCCCTTAGCGGAAACTGAACCCGGGTCTCTCTGGACCACAGGCTGACACTCTAACTGCTGAGCCAAACTGGCCAGGGCTCCACTTTTTTTATTTCTTCCTCTATTTCTTTTTTCAATGTACTGTAGTTTTCTGCAAATAGGTCCTTTATTTCTTTGGTTGTTTATTCCTAGGTATCTTAATTTTTTTGCCGCGATGGTAAATGGGATTGTTTATTTAGTTTCTTTTTCTGTGAGTTCATTACTGATATATAAGAATGCCGTCGCCCTGGCCGGTTTGGCTCAGCAGTTAGAGCATCGGCCTGCAGTCTAGAGAGACCCAGGTTCAGTTCCCGCTAAGGGCGTGTACCTCAGTTACAGTTTGTCCTCGGCCCCTGGTTGGGTCGTGCGGGTGGCAGCCACTCGATGTGTCCCTTTCATGTCAATATTTCTCTCTCTCTTTCTTCCTCTCTCTCCCTCCCACTCTATCTGAACAAAAAAATGGAAAAATGTTCTCGGGTGAGGATTAAAAAAAAAAAAAGAATGCAGTTGATTTTTTTATGTTAATTTTGTATCCTGCTACTTTGCCAAATTCATTTATTAAATCTAGTAGATTTTTGATGGAGTCTTTAGGGTTTTCTATGAAATGTATTCATTTTTAGAAGTCATATTTTTTAATTCTTAGATAAGTGATATGGATGGCCAGAGATCATAGGCTGTAATGTAAAATTCAACAGGCTTGGCATTGAATAACAGTTCCATCATTTACTAAATATGTGATCTTTGACAAATTACTTGAGTCTAAGGGACTCATTTTCTCATCCTCAATGGTGATAGGACTTTCAACCCCCTCCCCCACCCCAGGGAATATGAAAAGAACAAAATAAAATATTGTACACAAAATAGTTGGCACATTTTACTCATCAGAATTCTCAAGGGTGGGACCATCGTCTCTGCATATTTGAAAAGCACCCTAGGTGCTTCTGATGTACAGCTAAAGTTTCAACTCCTTGTGTAGGCAGTGGGCCATGGCAGAGAAAGCATGATTAGACCTATACATTAGAATGATTACTTTGTGGTGGTATTCACAGGGCCTGGAAACCTGGGAGAATAAGGGAAGTCAGAGTATGAGTAACAGGTGGAGAATCTGATTCAGAGGGGACAGTGATGAGCTTGGTTTTAGTTAATGTTTGTTTATCAACAAGTAAACATTGATTCAGGCCTATGTTGAATGAGGCCCTGTATTTCCTACAGAGCTAAATGTGTCCTTATTTCCCTGACTTGTCTCTTAAGAACAACACATGGCTTCTCTCTTCCTTGTCTTCTGGCTGACTCAGTGCTGGTGCTGGCAGCAGCAAGTCAGGAAATATTAGGGGATTCCATCTGTCTATGGGGTACAGAGCTCTCAGCCACAGGTATGCTACTGGGGTGATGGCTGGTCATTGGCTTTCATCTTTTCTTTGGATCTTTTAGGCTGAAACCCATACCATTTCCCAGTTTAGATCTTATTCTTAATACAAATCCTTAGACTCAGGTTCTGGTGTTTCTTTTTTATCTGCCAGATAGAGTAGGAGTGAACAGGAAACCATGAACTCATTGGTCTAGCATGATTGAGTAGCTGTAACAATGGCTATCAGAAAGAGCTGCA